TCTGTTATTTGGGAAATTAACTGAGGACAAATTGAGTGAAGAAGAACTTAACTAATTTATTTGGGGTCAGCTGGTGTTGGTGAGCAAATTAAATTATTTAGTTTATTTTTGGTGATTTGGATGTGAAATTAATTGACTTGAATTTCCTTCTGTGAAATTCAGTTATTTTCCAGTAATTATTTCTAAATTTGCAAAATACATATAAATTAGCAAATACAAAATTTATGCAGTTTGTAGGTTGTAACCCTGTCTCCAGATATTAAGATACCTAGCATAGTCATTACTAAGTACAACAGAGTGGACTGGCAGGAAGAAAAAGGAGATCATGCCTACAGAAACAAATGAAATACATTTTATGGTTAAAGAGAGAAAAAACACCACAATGGAATTCCTGGCTGCATTGCAAGCTTTCCCAGTACTGCTTGACTGTATTGCCTGCTTTCCAGTAGGGAAAATGGATTTTTGTACTTGTAAATAGAAGAGAAAGATCATTAGGAGAAAAGGTGCAGTGACCATAACAATTCTGGAAAATAACTAGAGATTTAAGATTATATACAAAAAAGAGCCCAGTCCAGGCATTCAGAAAGCTACAGGTTATTTTTCAGGTTCTGAATCTAGTAGAGAGCCTCCAGCTGTAGCAGAGTCTCTTTTTTGAGATTATTGTTCTCAGCATGAACAAAGCAATCTTGGAGGGATGGGCTAGCCTGCAATCAGGTTAATCCAATCTTGAACATCTAAATTGGACTAAGATTTCTTTCTATGTAGTGTTTAATGCTATTCATCTTACAGACCTGCTTCTACACACATCAAAAGAAATGAACCTCAAAAGAAATGAAATGAAAAAGCAGTGATTCCATTTGTATGTGAGACCCTTCAAGTCCTTGGAAACTCTTGAATTATTTTTAAAAAGAGTGTATGATGCTCTGCACATGTGCTTTGGGCATGCTTTGTGATCCAGGGTGCTACCTGACACAGATGTGTAAAAAAAAAAAAAAAAGCTGGTAATAACAGATATCACAGCAAAAGGAAGCTCCATGATTGTTGTTTTTAATAGGTGCTATAAACAGAGACATACAATTTCAAATATGTGGTAGTCCTCCTGTCCATATGCTCTCCTTGGCTTGATTGGGGAGTACCTTGGCTACACAAAGGATGCCTTAAACATGAAAATGCAGCTTCCTTGAGCAACCACAGTCAAATATATGCAATAAAATTAAATTTTTTATTACCAAAAGGCTCTTTGTTGGAGTTTCAGGATGTATTATTTAGGCACAGTAATCTCCATCTTGCACACTCACAGTCATGGTATGTATCCATCTATGTACATTTTATATTTATTTTAAGTAAATGCTGTATCAGAGCATTTAAAAATATTCTTCAAATGTCTAAATATTTCCATAGAAAAACAGAAGTTATTTCATGGAGGTCATTCTTCACTGTATACAATAATGAGGCCTTTGTTCCCACAGCTGCACAATGACTAGTATCATGTTTTCCTTCATTACTATTACACAACATGGATCTCATTAGTTGATCTACAGATGAGCATTCTTGCTGCCAATTTTTTAATTTGACCCATCCTTGCAGTATCATGCAAAATTTGTATAGACTCTTACAGAGCATCTGCTACTTCCTATACCGTTTGGAGCTTTGTGTTTTATCCTCAGCCTTTGTTTTTCTTTCCTTCCTCCTCCTGTCATCCTAAATCTTTTTTCATATCTTAAACAACTTGCTTATGACATTCTTGGAGCTTTCTTTCTGTCTTCGTGTCTCCAGCTTAATATCTGAGGATAAAACAGCTTGTTCAAGTATTCAAAGCTGCAATAAGCTCACTTAGTGGCTATCTTTCTTTTTCACCTTGTCCACTTGAGTGTTGTCAATGGACTTGCCATCTCGAACACTTCCTTGGTCTGTTTCTGTCATCCTCTCTTAAGCTTCTCCTCATGCATTCTTGTCTCTTTCTTCTGAGTGTGCCTGAGCTTCAGAGACTCCTTCACTCCTTCACAGGGTAGATCTTACTTGCGTTTTTGGCCTGCTACACAAATGCCTGGCACTAACCTCTTCCCTGAGCCTTCATGCCAACTGATTGATGCAGGAGTGCCATCTTTACCTTAATAATTCTGCTTTGTCCATTGGAGATAATTTAACATATTTGTTGTACGTTAGATGCACTGCTGGTTTCATCAAGCCTGACTGCAGAACAGGATCTTGGGACAATCACTCATGCCTTCACTATTAAGCATGAGGGCAGGAATAGAGTTTTTCACCCAGACATACCTACATATGCTGTTTTAGCTCCTGTTTTCTTCTCTTATCTGTTTTTTTGCCTGCATTTTCTGTTAACTGACTACTGCTAGCCTTGATATGTGTGACAATTGGATTTGTACACTACACACTACGAAGCATATTATAACAGATCATAAAAGAAGGCAGCAAGTCAAGACAACCTGTCTTTTCTCAGGACATCTTCCTCTCATCTCTAAGTATTCTTGTTTCATAGACAATTCACAAGTCATTTCTGTTAAGCCCATTGAGGCCTGGCTGTTCTGTAACATTAGTTTTCTCCTGGGACCTTCACACTGCAGGTATTTAAGATGTTGACAGTTTGCTGACTCTTCTCTGAGGAAAAGCTGACTTATGTTACAGTTAGAAGGATCCTGTGTATGAACAAGCCTTGCAACCACTTCTGAGGAAACAAGTTTCGGTGGAGCTGTTCACAATGTTGGATTTCTGTGGATACTAGCAGGCACTGGGATGTATTTTACCTTGTTTTCTGCCATGATCTACAGAAGCTTGTCCCAACAAGATACGGTGGTCACAGCAAAAAGAAAACACAACTGTAGTTTTTATAGTCCCACGTTTAGTTTCTGTATGTGTTTCTATCAGTACCCTAAAAAATATTGCACTAGGACAGGGGTAGGCAACCTTTCCCCTTTAAGGGCCGTGGGACTTCAGCTCCCAGAAGCCTCAGCCATGTTGGCCAATAGTCCCATGTTGGACAATAGCTCCTGGGATCCTTAAAGGAGAAAGGTTGCCTACCCCTGCACTAGGAAGTCATAGGGAATCTGCAGATAACAGCACAAAAAGATAAGAAATTAGACTGAGAGAGTGAAAATATAGGTGAAAGGGTTTGGTGAAACAATTTGGTAGAAAATACCTTATAATATTGTGAGTGGGGGGCATATTTTAATAATGGGTGGTGAGAGTCAGCATCGTGTAGTGCAGGGGTAGGCAACCTTTCCCCTTTAAGGGCCGAGGGACTTCAGCTCCCAGAATCCCAGGAGCTATTGGCCAACATGGGACTATTGGCCAACATGGCTGAGGCTTCTGGGAGCTGAAGTCCCTCGGCCCTTAAAGGGGAAAGGTTGCCTACCCCAGGTGTAGTGGTTTGAGCATTGGAATACAATTGTGGAGACCAGGGTTTGAATCCCTGCTTGGCCATGGAAACCCACTGGGTGACTTTGGGCAAGTCATACTCCCTCAGCCTCAGAAGAAGGCAAAGGCAAACCTTTCTGAACAAATTTTGCCAAGAAAACTCCATGATAGGGTTGCATTAAAGTCGCCATAAATAGGAAATGGCTTGAAGGTACAGAACAACAATTATGGTTGACCAAAATATGGTCCTCCCAATGTTGTTGGACTGGGAAATACAGTTCATCATCTGGAGGGTTGCACTTTGTTTATCCTTGCTTTATGGTAAAGAACAAGGAATTAACAAAACACACATTCTTTTCAACAATGATGCCTGAATATATTTTCCTACTCTTCTCCCTCAGCCATGATGGTAACTGAATAATAATTTGAATAACAAGCAGTCACCTGCTAAAAAGGTTCATGTTCATATAATTCTAAACAGCTGCTGACTAGGGATACAGGATGGGTTAGTTGGAATATGGTTTTTTTTACTTACTGTGGTTGTGAAAAGTTTATTGGAAAGTCTATGAAGACAGGCTGTGCAATCCTGCTACTGCAAAACCAATCAAGTGCCTTGTGACAGTTTGAAAATGAACATATTCTGTTATGACATAAGATACTGTGGACCACAGCCCACTTCATCATAAAATTTGTTAGTCTTCAAAGTGCCATAACACTGCATGTTCTGTCTGTGAAGATAGTGTCCTTGACTCAATGGATGCCATGAAGTAACTCTCTAATGGTCAAGAGTTCAAAACCTCTCCCCCAACCATGTGTCTGTCAATAAAGAGGTGATGCTTCCATACCTCTTGAAAAAAGAATGGAAAGGAGTGATGTCTTGCACCTGTTCAGTTCTCAAGGCACTGGAATGAACTCGCCAACCTACCCAGTTTCCATGCTTTAGAGATCCTAATTATCTCTGTTTTCTTTCTTCAGAACTGTGCCTTATCTAACTTATCATTGGTCTTAAAGATGGTGTTACAGCCGGATGGGAAGTGCAGATTCATAAGTTTTGATAAGGACAATTTAATTCACCTGCCTTTTGTTTCTACTAGCAGAAGGCAGTAGTTATTTACATGAAGGGTTTGTTGTTGTGTGCCTTCAAATTATCTCTGACTTAAGATGACTCTAAGGAGTTTATCACATGGGGGAAATGCCATGCCGAAACAGGGCTTTAAATTAAACAAAACCTGCAAAAGCAGGTGTTTTTTCAGACGAAGTCGCTGTTAAAAGAAGGCTAATCCGAATGGAAATTAGACAAAAACTGCTTCTTTTTACTTTTGGAAGATCCCGTAAGTAAAAAGAAGCAGTGTTTGTCTAATTTCTATCCGGATTAACCTTTTAACAGCGCTTTCACTTTTCACACAGAGCAGAACGGGAGAAATCCCATTCATTAAAAGCTTCTGCTTTTGCAGGGTTTTTTTTACTTTAAAGAGCAATTTTGCACGGGGCTCCCCGTGTGATAAACTCCTATGACGAACCTATAATGGGGTTATCTTGGCAAGATCTGTTCACAAGAGGTTTGCCATTGCTTTCCTCGGAGGCTGAGAGCATGTGACTTACCCAAGGTCACCCAGTGGGTTTCATGGCCGATCTGGGAATCAAACCCTGGTCTCCAAAGTTTTAGTCCGATACTGAAACCACTACACTACCCTGGCTCTCACATAAAGGGTACTTGTAGAATATCATAAAACACATCACCTTAAAGCCATCCCTTGAGGACCAGTCTGAAATTCCCATCTCCATGACCCATTCAGCTAACTCTGTGGAGCCCCAAAAAGTACTGAGCTCTGATTGGCACATGGAAATGCATGCACATTGGTGGGTGGTAGCAAATGCAGAAGCCTATTTCTACCCATAGATTTTCTTCATTACGTCAGGCTGATATCTCTCGAGCATGCGTCCCAACCTGTTTAGTACAGTTTTTTTTCTTGCTTTGAAAGTGTATTGGTCCTAGCTATCAGCAGTCTAAAATCTCTTATCTTCATGTAGTCCAAAGTAGCAGCATCTGAAATAGCACTCATCTCAACAGCTAAATATTGTATAAAAATAAAACTACTTAGGAGTTTATCACACGGGGGAAATCCCGTGCAGAAACGGGATTTAAACGGTGGGGGAAACCCGCAAAAGCAGGCAGATTTTCACACACATTGCTGTTAAAATGGGGTTAACCCGAATGGAAAGTAGTCAAAAACTGCTTTCTTTTTACTTTCGGGATTTTCCGAAAGTAAAAAGAAGCAGTTTCTGACTACTTTCCGTTCAGATTAACCCCATTTTAACAGTGATGTCATCTGAAAATCTGCCCGCTTTTGCAGGTTTTTTTCAATTTAAAACCCCGTTTCTGCATGGGATTTCCCCCGTATGATAAACTCCTTAGAAACACAACATAACAGTAGAAACATACAGAGGACTAAAAAGCCCTAGAGAATAAAAAGGTTGTGGGTTTGTCTAGAATGAACAATATCTATTCAAGACAAAGCCAAAAGATCTGTTCCTGGTGGGGATAAAAACATCTAGAAATTGATTTAAATTAATACAGCAGCCTGCACTTTTGGATTATCCATTGGGATGATGCTGTATTAATTTAAATCAATTTCTGCCCCTGCCCAAGGATGATGGAAAAATCCAGGGGGTGGTGAGGAAAAGGCGGGCAGCAGGATGACCTTCAGTCAAATATTGGCATGCATGAAAGACAAGGAGAACCAGCAGCCTTTAGGATCATGGTGGGGATGTGGAGTTAGAACAGGAAGAAGCAGAAGGAAAAAGGACTTTCAGATCTGGGACCCCCTCCTTAAGCTTTGTGAGCTTTGCTGGGACTTGGCTGGCAAGTTGGAGTGCACTGCTGCTCCTGCTTTCTTTCGTAGGACAGGCTGAGAGAAGAGATAGCAGAAGAAACAATGGAGGGGGAGGAGTATCCAAGGTTGATTATTTTAAAAAGCCCTCCACCTCTCTTAGATTGACAGTCTTTCCTTGCCACAGAGAAGCTTTTCCCTTTGCACCCTGTCACCTTGGGAGCAGTTACCAAACAGCCTCTTGCCCACTCCAACCTTTCCCACAAGACTGGCATGGATGAGAGGCTTTTCAGTCACTGCTAAGCCATGGTGACCCAGTGCATAGGTGACCAGGTGCAAAGGGGGCAGTGACCAAACAGTTAGTCAAGCAGCAACTGAGAAGCCTCTTGTCTGAACTGGCCTTTGTCGCAGGGCTAGCATGGGTGAGAGGCTTCTCAGTCACTGCTTGACCAGCTGCTCAGTTGCTGCTCTTTTTGCACCCAGTCATCCTGGGAGCAGCAACCTAGCAGCCAGCCATCCAGCCTTCCATTTGCTGTGTAAAGCCAGCACAGGTGAGAGGGATGAGCAGGCCTGGACCATTGCCACTGCTATATTCACACATGAAAGGCGGAAGACAGAGAGGCAGTAGACCCAATATCAAGAAACCACCATTGGGGAGCACTAGGGTTGTCACTGAAGAGGAAAGGGGCTGTAGCCCAAAAATGTTTGGGGACCACTGCTATAGAGAATGTCCTGGTGATGGCCTACCCTTCAAAACATACCACTACTCCATTGTCTGTGTATGATGCCAGTGCAGAATCACTATGCTGTGTGTAGGTTTTCCAGGTCATGTCTATCTGAGGACAAGAACCTGAGCAGGACAAATTATTCAGATGTCATAGAAGGCATCTGGTGTATCATCAATGTGATACATGAAGCATCAGCCGTCATTGCAGAGCACACTATTCAAATAAAAAAACAAAAGTCACACAAACACACACACTTTTAAAGAAAGTACTCTCACCCTACAATTCTTTTCCCTTGCCCTGAGGGCTGGAGAAGAGGAATCAGGCCTTAGAGCTGAGAACCCTAATTGTGTGGCTGGTTGGATGCTATGCATACTGAAGTGAAGTTAAACTGTGTGATCCACATAACAGTGGATCCACATAACAGGCAAGTTTAGTTTTCCTAGAACCATGATGAACTTATACCTTGGTTTAAGTTCCATTGAATTTAATGGGGCTTACTTCTGAGTAGAGTTGTGTGGGACTACACTATCAATATTTACAGGCAATCATCAGAGTTATTGGCTCTGAATCTCAAAGAAACATTTCTGATTTGCAAAGTAAAGTGTATATCTTGACCCATAATCATATAATGGAGTTGCAGTTCCCAGCATAGCACATACGTGCACAAATGAAATAAAGGCCAAGGTCCTGGATTAGGAAATGTATCTCACATGGTGTAACCACACTATAGCTCTGTCCAAACCCCTGAAACCCCAACTGAATTTAACTTCTGGTTGGTGAAGAGTAGGAGGAGAAGCAGAGAAGCACCAAGCTATTTCCCTGTAGTTGGACATACAGCAATAGACAATCTTTGGCAACTCCCAGCAGTCTTCTGGAGGTCTATGATCAGCTATAGGAAAAGTGCCCCTCTATTTTCCAATGTCCAGCACAAAAAAAGTGGCTTAGGGAGGAATTTTGTTTGTCACATAAGTGTTGCAGAATTCCAACCTCTGCAACAAACTAAAAAAATAGTTACATTGGACTTATGCCATTGTAATTTTCAGTTGGCCCTCTATATCCATGGATTTTTTTATCCATGGATTCAACCATTCATGGCTTGAATTTTTTTTTCTTTTAATAATTTTTATTAAACACACATAAATATCTTACAAAACATTTGTTGGAAAATTTTGAAAATATTAAAAAATAATATTTTTTTACCATTTTATATAAGAGACACTATTGCATTTAATTAGACTGAGCATCCACATATTTTGGTATCCACAGGGGATGCTGGAACCAAACCCCAGTGGATATCAAGGGCCCACTGTATTTAGAATGTCAGCCATAGTTGATAAGACAAAGGTTACTTTCACAGGCTTCAGTTAAACTTTCTTTTGCCTACTTACTCGTGTGTTGGCTTGTATGTGCAATTGTGCACACAGAGAGAGAGAGAGATACAGGCTGCAATCCAACATCCCCCCAGCACAGTGTAAATATTCACATGCAGAGATAACACTACATCAGGACTGCACAACCCCCATTTTATTAACACATGTCAATGACCAGTTACCATTGTGCAATGCACAAGATGCAAGTGTGATGCAAAATGTTCAGTGTGCAACTACAATGTGAAACCACAGTGCACAACCACAATATACATGTGAAATGAAAAATTGCTGTATGCACAACTCAGATTATGCATGCATGTGTCACTAACAGGATTCCAGCCATAGACAGATGACTATCTGAAATGTAGTTCCTATGCACAATAAAATACTTGTGCACATACCTCCCCAATTTTAAACAAATAGCAACAGCTTCGGCTCATGCTGCATATCTGAACTACAAACCTATAACCATGTTACACCAGTAACTGTCATGTCTTCCCTCAGAGTATTTTAGTTTGGTGATGCTTAAGAATTTTTGTTAGAGCAAACCCACTTCAAGGAATTAATGTTATATTGCAGAAGATGCCTGGCTGCCATCCACCCCTTTCCCTCCAATATATCCTCTAGTCATGCAATGTGATATTAATAATTTTCCTGCCTCTCAACAGTTCATGTTGCAGGAAGGCTAAACACAGTGACATATAAATTATTTTGTCAAGTGTTGACCTGAATCATGCTAGTATTCAGGCCTTAACACAACAGAGCTCCTCTCTCCCCATTCTCCCTGCAGCCCTCTCTGCCACTTGAAAACTGGCTCCAGAAGTTTTCTTAGGACTTCCAATTAGATGAAAGAAGGGATTGCCTCTCTGTTCCCTATCAGTGGAAGCACCCAATTGGGTCCCTGCCATTACCATGAAGATGGGGGGGGGGGGATGTGAGTTGGCATTATCTGCATCACTACATTAATATGTTGTTATTAAGTCATAACATGGTGGTGTTCAAGTGTCCTACAGTGCCAGCCATGGAACCATCAATTCTAGGCTAGACCAAGCTGATCAGATCCCCCATCAACTTGTTTTGGGCCTCGGGTGGGTTCTGAGTCTTATCTTGTTCTGAGCTTCTTTTCAACTTGTTTTGAGACTTACCTCGGCTTTTCCTGAACACTGGTCCTTCTTCCACAGTATGGAGGCGTGCAGTATGTCCTCTTCCCAGTTGTGTTTCCCATGCCATCATTATCTACTGTAGAAAATTTGCCATACTTACGATGGTTTCCATTCACCCCATATTAGAGGGAGTATTCATCTCAAGAAGCAAGTACCTACTATTGCAAAGTATGTTTATGTGGTTCCACCTATACACACCATTTTCCTCTCCCTCTCAATAATAGCAGCTGACCTAGTTAGATAGCCTAGCATCTCTCACATCTGGCACTTATCATAACCACTTTCCAGGATTCAGTGATCCCTCTCCCTCAGAAATACCAAGTAGTACAGCCATCCCTGGGCTCTACCACCTGAAGCTGTAATAGGGAGATCTATCACATGTGATTGTTCCCATATTTAAAACCCATGTGGCAAATATCTTAAAAGACTTAAGGGAAGTGCATTTCCCCCCTCAGGATACCCCATCAGCTCACCAATGCAGGAAGTCACCTGTTTAGTCTGTGCTGGTTTCATGTCAGTTCCATCAGTTGAACCATTGAAACCTGAAATATCCTTATATATCTGGAATGTGAGAATCAGAGGAACAGGATTAGTACTTCTGATCT